GGGAAACTTTTTTTTCCACACCCGCAGATTCCTCTTCTTTAACGTTAATTTATTATCGTTGTTGTGGTCTAGCAATACTATTCTATGATGTCTTGTTGCAGCATTCAGCGTGTGGGGTTAACTCGGTAATCTCACGAATGATTCCAACAGAACTGCGTGCACTTGTGTAGTGATAAAGAAGACATTTTTAACATTTGTGACGTCACAGCGATGACGCATCGTATGTGAAATTCTACACAATTAATATCTTTATACAGCTGAGGGTCTGTATGTGTTTTCTTTTTTTTTAAACTGTGGCTAGGTCTGGTACTGGATGCGTTATTTTTGGGTCGGAAAGGTCCGTACCCATCAAGGAGTTTCTAATGTCGCTTTATATCAATTTAATTCCACTTTAGATTCTTACTTCCTTCATTAAAATAATTTATTAAACAAACACAGAGGTGGCACACGCAAGTACAGTACGTGGTGCTTTCGCTAGGCTTATCACGTAGTCCATGGGCTTACGTTGAATTTCATCCCGTGATAGCAGGCTCACCAAGAGGTCCGCTGTAAGCGCTGTGAGGATGAAAGCTTTAGTATTCTAAATGTATCTTAGTCTCTAAAGTGCTGCCTTTTACATGATTTATATTTTGTTAAATTAATTTAATGTATGTCTTGGACTTTTAATAAACACATTAAAGACATACTGTCAGTACTGCCGTGTAAATTTTATACCGTTGGAATTTAAATTACCTAGTTTGCATAATTGTAATAATGTCTTACTAATTAGCTAATTGAAAATTCGAACGAGAATAAAGTCTTGGTAATTTACAGAAAATAATAATGTACCATAGGTTGCACATCCCACTAGCAGGTGTAAGGTTGTTTTGTGGTACAACGTGTAAAAACATTTTTAAAAAATCATTTTTTTTAAAATCTGTGACGTATTGAATGTTTATATAAATCTTGTAAATTAAGTGACCAAGTTCATAGTGTTATTAAGCTTTTCTATTTTTGGGGTGGTAGAATATGTTAAATAAACAAATTAAAAAAATAAAGGCGTTGCATTTTGTCATTATATTTATTACTTATTTATTTTGATCTGAGGGTGATGTTTGTAGTATTGCTATGGTAATTTTCAGGTTCTTTTAAAGCCGGGCTCCAGAAGATAAAACAATTTTGATATATTGTACAGTATGCGTAACCATTCTTTTCTAACATTTTCCTCTAGTTTTTAAATATTCAAAAATCTGTGTCTCATTAACCGCTCCCGAGTTTTTCGTCAAAACACCCCTTTTGTGTCTTAGAATAAACAGTACTGAACAATATATCTTTCCATTCGGAGCCTGCCTTTGATTGTATTCATCATTGATTCCTGTCCAGTATACTTCGCATTGCCTGAAATAAATATACTAAAAATAAATACAATTATATGTTTTTCTTTGAGCATTTACGTGGAGACCACAAGCAAACGCATGCTGGCAAGCTAAGATGTTTTGTATTTAGGTACAGTATGACACTTTTCTGACGACGAAGAGGGGAAAAATAAATGCAGTTCAGAAGTATTATCAACTTCTTCGAAGGGTTGCACAACCACAAAAGTTTACTCGGGACTTGATGGAGATAATACGCCGATTTAAAGACATTAATAACTTCAGGATGTATCATAGGTTTGCTTCTCCCATACAATAATTATATGAACATGCAAGCTTGACAAAACGATAATGTGATTCATTAAATATATACATTTATTAAATCTGTTTATCGGCATGGTTTTTGTACAGAAATCCCGATTTTACTAAGAAATATTTACTATTGTTAAAAGCATCGTTTAATTTTTGGCGTATTTTCTATTTCTTAATATAAGTCTATGCCTACGTGAAATGTTAAATCTGGATTATAAAAAGCTATATCACATGACATGGTGAATTAAAAAACAAGCATATAAACATTACAAAGACGCTTCTCCAATCGAGCGTAGAAATTAAAAATAGACCTATTACTATTTTGACTTTTACATGTATATGTATATTGACAGTCACAAACAATGACAATTATAGGCCAAATAGTAAAGCAATAATCACTAACGGTAACGGCGGTGGTGTCACAGAGATTTCAGCTCCTGTAAATTCGACCCTTCAAGGGCTTAATCTGTAGCAAATTTGTTTTCCACGAATTTATCCCCGGGCCAATACTACTAATGATTGGCTCTCGTTTAGGATATTAGGCCGAAATCTATGAGACACCGGTATAAGAAAGTAATGTGTTTGATAGATAATGTCTGTGAGTCCGTTGCGATTCATACATGCGTTGATTTAGCAACATAAATCGAACCATTGCTTAAGTTTTTAGTGTATATTTCTGTCTCAACTTCGGCGTACATAGATTCGGAGCCACATTCCAGGTCAACTGGTACTTGGATGCCAACATTACGCCGCCAAGTTACAGTATCGTGTAGGGAGGGTTCATTGGTCAAAATCGTATCTTTTGGTTCAAAATATACATCAGGCTGGGCAATGATTCTTCCGGAAGCATCCATGGTAACTTTTTGTGAAAATAGACGGACCATACATAATGGTATCAACATTAGAAGAACAATCACAAACGAGCAACTGCCTGTTATTGCCAGAATCATAGCAATTGTCATTTCGTCAGGATTTGAAGATTGAGACATAGCATCGGGTGAAACAACCCTCCTGGTCAGATTTTGGCTGGGAAAATAGGATGTTTGTTTTCGTGGTTTTACGTTGATCACAAATTTGGCTGAACGGGTACCCTCTGAATTAGACACGGAGCACTGAATTGAAGTTTTGTTGAATTTCTCTGGCTTAAATATTCGAAGCACAAAACCCGAGCTTTCAATTCGATATTCATCTGGAGATGGATTACCGTCAAGCTTCCAATCGTATTTTCTGGCCCGCGGCTTTGCTATACCAGAGCAGATAAACACAGCTTCCCTTCCTACAGAGATTTCTGTCGGTGCCTGAATGGTAACATTCGGTGCAAATTGCACATTCAAAGGTCCAATTGTACAGTTGCGTTCGATGGCTAATACTGTGGAATACATACGGCACCTCACAAACTTTCCATCGTCTTCGGGTTTCGCATCGAATGTGTATCGAAGGACTAACTGGTTATGTTCCTCTCGCGCAGGTCGACTACTTACCATCTTACGGGCAACCCACCACTCTAGATTCACTTTTGGATCAGTCAGTTCAGTGATACAGGTCAAAGTAACCGGATCCGGACTCCGGTAAATCTCAGTTTTAGGTGAACATTCCGGGAACTCTTTACCTGGGACTTGGTTTATGTTAAGCCTCGCAGTGTCCGAGCATTTCCTGTCGTTTTCACCCTCTCTTATACAACACTGAATTTCAGAATTATCGTGAGTTCTCTTGGTTTTGCTAATAACCAGAGTGTATTGGTGAATGTTTACGTCTACACGGATGGAAAATTGCTCGGGGACCTTGCTTTCGTCCCCGATAGTAATAATTTTATTATTTTGCTTCCAAGCCACTTTTTGCAGTCTAGATAGAGAGTTCACAGTGCAGACGAACAATGCCTGCTCACCTTCCTTCACGTCCTGATCATTTGGCTGTATAATAAAACTAAGTTCAGCCCCAGTTAGAGTAACGAAGAACATCACACATATTGTTGCGATTATTAAGGTATTCAGTTTTGAGCATAACATAAACAATTGTTCCATTTTGTTGTATTTTGTTACCTTCGTGCGATAAACACATTTGATTACTTATATATTATTAATCCAGTACCGGAGTAAGACATCAAATGCTGATTTGCTACCCTCAAGTTACAGACGTGCAAATAAATACCAAGAAAATCCATGCATCAATTTCATAGAACAATGCTGGCATGCCAACAATATATTCTTAAAAATATTACAAGTAAAGTGAACGAAGAGCAATCGATAACGAGAGATAAATCATATTCAGATAATCTGCAGAAAGTATTCTTCCCAAGTGTATCACTTATGCTTACGGCTCAAGATAAACAGAGGAACTGTCACGGGGACAGACGTGTGTAATCACCGGCAAACTTCAACATAAACCGAGCTTTGGTCCGCTCTGAGCGCCATTAAAACAAGTTTTCGTGCCAATCACAGGGTTAGCAGCATGTAGTCCGAACAGCTCTCACAGATATTGACTGATATCATCAATGTTTCTGCTTTAACAAGCAATATCAGCAGGGACTGGCCATCAGAAAACTAAAATGTGTATATCGTAATTAGCTAGAAGCCACGCACACAATAACGGCTAGTCGCATCACTTCATTTCATTTCCATATGTCAGCCACTGAGTCAAAAATACTGGGTATAGTTACAAACATTTATGAGATTCTAACGTATTATGCAAATTAAACCATATGGTACTGTCTAAGGAATTACAATCGCACACATACCTGACTGAAGATGCCTACATGATATATTGCATTGTTTCAAAATTGACTGAATTATTTAGTGATATGCGTTGACTTGTACATTGTTTTTTAATTAATAATGACACGAGAATTCTCATCATTTAATATTTTATAGCCGCAAGGAGACAGAAAAAGCCGCCACAACACTGGATATTAATTGCATATATTATATAGACTACATAGATTATTATCAAACTACGCCAATTTAGAGGTCGTCCGGGTTGTAAAAATACCAAGGGACCGAAGCATAATGCAAATATATGTTATTGGTGTCGGGGGAGCATAATAAAGTTTTAACAGTGATGATGTTAAATTGATAAGGGGGTGGGTATGGTGGGTGGGGGCGTTGCTGTGGAATTGAAAATAGATAAACATACTGTATATGCCTATGTATCACATTAAATCAAATAAATAATTTGCATTGCGCTGCCAATAAATGGAAAAAAAAACAGTGAAAAGCAATGATGGATAACATGGTGGAATGTTGAATAATAAATAGATCTATAATAATAAAATCATTCAGTGATACATTTTACGTCCTTAATAGAACGAATGACAAAATTATTATTATTACTATTGGCTTTTCCCAACAGTACTGGGAAAAATCATTGTTTTTATTCTGATTTTTTTTCTTGTATATTATTTTTCCTATCTTTTTGCACTGTTTTTTTTTTCTGGCCGTCACCTTGGTCACATCCCATGCTTAGAATATTTCCGTGCTTTGCCGAAGCATAAGCCATATATCAAGGATGTGCCTCCTAATATTTAGTGTCAATCTATGGTGGGGTGTGCGTGAGAGGACCAATTAGGGTGATTTAAGGTCAAACATATTTTAAAAACCGTTCAGTTGATGTGAATGAAAATTACGGGAAAGTTTAATCAAGTTACAAGGAAGAAATTTGTATGTGTTAGTGACGATTCAGTGAAAGGTGTAAATTTGTGGGTCTTTTCAATTTTTGAGGACCCAGACCTAAATATCTTTAAAAAAAAAACCAATGGGTCTAAATGAAACAGTCTATAATACTTTGTAAAGGTCTTGTAAAAAAACGATCCGCAGTATGGTGTGGATCTGAGGACCATTTAAAGGAAAACGTCCCAGACCACATATTTCGAAAACGGATCAACTGATCTGAATGAAAGGACCCAGACCTAAATATCTCTTTAAAAGAAAAATCAATGAGTATAATTTAAACTTTGTATAACAGTTTGTCAAGGTCGAGTAAAGAAATGATTTTTGTGACGATCCGGAGTAGGGTGTAGATCTTAGGACCATTGAAAGGAAAACATCCCAGACACCACATATTTCGAAAACGGATCAACTGATCTGAATGAAACATTCGGAAAAAGTTTAACCAAGTTACAAAAAGATAGTATTATGTGTTGGCGACGAATCAGTCAAGGGTGTAAATTGGAGGGTCATTTAAATTTTTGCGATCCTAGACGTAAATATCTATAAAAAGTTTTCAATGGGTGTAAATGTAACTTTCTATAATAGTTTGTAAAGGTCCAGTAAAGAAATGACTGAATTTTGTGATGATCCGGCGTAGGGTGGTAATATGAGTACCATTGAATCGCTATGAACTGAAAGTGCACTTTCCTATGCAAGTTCGGCTCATATGGCGCGCAATGGTTATGAGTCATGATGTACGTCGCTATTACCATTGCAGCCATAGTTCAAGTCTCACTAATAACGTCGCAGGGAACTTAGTTTTGGTTTTTTTTTCACTTCATTTATTCCGCTTTATTTAAATTATATTGGTTTTCCGTGTTTTTTTTTACTTTATACGTTTTAACGGCTTCTCTTTTTGTTGCAATTTTAACTTGATTTCTCATTAAAGCAATGGAGAAAAGCCATATGTTCTGTTGTTGAAACAGATATAGTAAGTCTAGATTATTATTATTATTATTATTATTATTATTATTATTATTATTATTATTATTATTATTATTATTATTATTAATCATATTGATTATTGATGTTATTGCTACTATGAAGAGTATTGTTATTATTTATATTATTAGTGTTATTACAATTAAACCTATTAATAATATGCTTTCCGTATTATAGTTACTATTATTATTATAATAATCCACATAGAGTAGCATTCTCATCATATTATTATTATTGGTATTATTATTATTGACATGAAAGGGATTAACAGTCACATGATTAAAAACTAATACAATAGCACAGTATCATGGAGCTGAAATTTTAAGTGCATTCCTATGTTTCCCTTTCTGTGTTCATCAATGCGTTGATAAAGGTGTCGGCAAGTATAGCCGACATAGCTTGAATCACACAAGCCACATTGAAATTTATACACAACGCATTGTTCGTTAACAATCTTAGGTTTTCTTTCTCTCTTCTTTAGGTTTTCTTATTATTATTATTATTATTATTATTATTATTATTATTATTATTATTATTATTATTATTATTGTTATTGTTATCATCATCATCATTATCATCCTAATCATCATCACCATTATTATCTTCATAATATCCTCATCATAATAATTATCATCATCATCGTCATAATCATCATCATAATCCTGATCATCGTCGTTATCGTCTTCATCATCTTCATCTTCTTATGTACTAGTAACTTAACAACACTAAGTTATGATTGAGCTTCAAACGTGAGAATCCAACCACGGCCACTTATACATTCTAGTCGTTATCTTCTGCTTTTTTCGTTGACGGATGTTGCATGCTTTGGTCGTGGAAGCATGCATCAAACATAATATACTGTTATCACGAGGATACATTGATAAGCACTACACGTGCGCAAAACGCATTTAGAAGGAGGCACAACAGGCGACGAACAAGCAAAGCATTATTTTGCGACTTATTTTTATTTAAGTATTGTTGTTGTTATGATATTAAAACACAGTCATCAAGTTCAAATAATACAAACTACTGTAAATCGTTGATGAGCAATTTCCAACTCTTTTTAATCGTTTTTTTTTTCATTCTACAATGGATGTGCGTCCACCCAAATCTAATAAAAATATTTTGCTTTACATTTGTATAGGCCTAATAATAACTGTATTTGAAAACTACACTTTTGAATCTGTGGCACACGCCATGCGGTGCGTTCACAATAAAACCATAAAACCACAGACTTTACCACTATACAAAATGACGAAGCTTAGAGATAATTCAATAAAATATACAGTGACACTTAAAATCTATTAATATTAACCTACTCATTTAAAACCGTTCAAAATCATTAAAAATACAAGTTAAAGAGGAATTGGTAAAAAACTGCAAAAGGGTTAAAATTTGGATTAAAAGTTGAATTTAAACTTTTCAAGAAACTGTATAGTTACATTGGTAAGATGGTTGAAATGCTTCAAAAGTGCTTCGAATAAGATTAAAATTAAAATCATGCAATGCTGTGTATTAACATTTTATTAGCTTTCAACTAAAAAATGAAGTCCTGGTAAAACTCTAAATAAATCAGTGACTTAATGAAAGGTGTATTTTTACTTGTTGTCTTTGTAATTTTCTGATGGCAGTAGATCTATATCTTTACTTTTGTTGTTGTTAAAACTCTTTCTTTGTTCTGCCTGTACATAGTCATTGCGTGTACATCACGAACTTTTTTATGAGCTCATGGTTGCCTTTACGTTAACAGAATCAGGACAAAATGATAGGATTCCATCAGTGAGCTATTTCTGTGACTAACTACTTTTAGAAGTGTATCACATACCGTTTTAATATCGTAAACAATTCCACGTGATAACTCTGAAGTAGCCACGTGACATAGTACAGTATAAAGTGTTTGTGATTGACGTGATTGTGCCACACACAAACAC